CATTTTCAACTACATGGTCCAGTTTGTCTACGATCGATGGAAGTCTGTCATCTACTGCAACACAAAGATTGTTCGGTCCCGTATCGGCCAGTACGCTGCTGCTATCCACAGTAAGGGTGCCCCGTTGGACAGGGTGTGGGCTTTTCCAGACGGCACGAAGATTGAATCATGCCGTATTAGTGCCACATCAAATGGTGCTGAAGGGCTCAACCTACAAGAGCGCATCTACTCCGGCCATAAACGCAAGCACTGTCTCAACTTCCAGGGTCTCACGACCCCAGACGGTTTGTGTGTTCATTTCTTTGGCCCATTGGAAGGCAGTCGGCACGATGTTGCCCTGCTTCGCGTCAGTAAATTGCAGGAATTTTTCGAAAACAGCTCGGACATCTTTGACGGCTATTACATCTACGGTGACCCCGCCTACCCAATATCAAAGTGGATCGTTTCTGGCCGCAAAGGAAACAATTTGGACGAGTCCAAGGAGTTGTTCAACTGTGCAATGAGCCGCGTCCGTCAAGGCGTCGAATGGAACTTTGGCCGTCTCAAGTCACTTTGGGGATTTATTACGTACAAAATGCAACAAAAAATCATGCTGTCGAACGTCGGGACAGTCGTGCTCGTGGCTAGGTTTCTGACAAATTGCAATTGCTGCTACAACAGTGGAAATCACATCTCCACGTACTTTGCACTTGTCCCGCCAACTCTTGAAGAGTACTTGAACTCGTAGATTAAATCAAATCGAATGACTGAGGACAATAATATTGAGTTCGAGTTTGTACAACAATCCAACAATACAATTCAACATGAATGAAGGCAATTCATGTTATCACAAACTCAGGTAGTCCATCTACTTTCTGCTACTGAGCGCTGTATTGATCAAGTTGATCATTTTTTCGCTTTCAATTTTTGCAAGTGCAGCTTGATGCTCTCGCTCTGCTTTGCGCTCCTCCCTGTCTAGCTCACGCTGTTTCAATTCTAAATCGGATATGTACCTGTTGAACTCAATCTCTTTTTCGCGAATGGCCATGTCTCGCTCGGAGTCCATCTCGATGGCCGTAGCTAGACTGCTGCGGCGACCCTTGACAGCGGTCTTCTTTTTTTGTTCGCCGCCCTCTGTCGTCACGTCGGCGCGGCGTTTCATCGTTTGCATTGCCATTTCTCGGATGATCAGCTCGCCTTGATCCGCCTTGTCTTTGTCGCTCGCTGTGCTGGCGGGCTTGGCGTCAGTGCTGGGCTTGGACTTGGCACCGGGGCCGCGCTTCAGGTCCTCCAAGAGGGTCACCATGTCGTCGAGCAGAATGTGTTTCTCGCGGTGCTCCTCGTCCACACCAGAGAGTTTCGCTGACTCTGAGTTGAACTTTATGTGCTCGTCGACCAGCAACGAAAATCGGTTTTGGACTTTGCGTGAATCGACCACGCGGGTGAAGTTGTCGCTCTGCATGAGCGTCTCAGCAAGCAGTTGCCACGACTTCGTGAGCTGACCCTTCGTTGCAGCGAAGGGCTGGTCGGCTGCGACCTGGATCAGGAGGGCCACGTCCTCCTCGTATGACCAGTTGCGTCTCTTATCGCTTTGAGACATCGTCGAGC